GGATCGCCAGAGCCCAGCAGGTTGACGCCAGAGCCCAGCAAGGGTGGCTGTGAGTGTGCCACTGCACTCCGTCCTGGGCGACAGAATGAGAACCAACCCAAAAAAATAATAAATAACCAACTTAATGAGGCTTATAACAAAAACTAGCAGGCCTTTGTCCCACTAGCTTCCCACAGACAGCCAGTCTCAATCTTTTTTTCTTTAATGTTTTTTTAGAGATGGGGTTCTCATGATGTTGCCCAGACTGGTCTCCAGCTCCTGGGCTCAAGCGATCCTCCTGTCTCAGCCTCCCAAGCAGCTGTAATTATAGGTGCAAGCCACCATGCCTGGCTCAAGTCTCATTTAATGACTTCTTTGAACATTTGCCTCCATATCTTTAAGCCTGAATATCTATGTGGATGTCTGTGGTCATATTTCTGGAGCCTTCAGATGCTTTATTAATTCTCTTTTGTGTTGAATTCCCGGTTTCCTGGATCCCAGGCCTTCCTTTTCCCTTCATTGATTTACTTCTTCATTTTTGAAGTCCGCCTTCTGGGAGCTTCCTGAGCCTGGCTCCTGGCGTGTCTGCAAGTGCCTCTGTTCAGGCTTCATCTCTGATTGACACTTTGGCTGGGCAGAGTTCTCGGTTGGAAATTCCATCTCCCAGAATCTCAGGGGCTGGCTCCATTATCTTCTACCTTCTAGTTTGATGTTACTCAAAGCCACATTACCAGGCACCCTCCCGCTCTGCTTCTACCCGGAAAAGAGCAGCTTCTTTTCTCTTCACCTGTCACCCCTCCAGCCTCCAGTCCAACGCCTGCCAACTACACTGGCCCAAAGTCCTGTTTTTCACAATCTCGCCTGCACTCTCCTGCTCTTATTCTGTCTCGGGGCATCCGTCTTCCTGATTCTGTATCACAGGAGACCAGAAACCGGAAGGGGGTCTGGTAGGTAGGGTAAACAAGCTGGAAACACCCACAGGCTAATCAGATGGACCCCCTTTCCAAATGTCACACCCCAAAGTCTGCGCCGCTCTCTCTATCCCAGCACACTTTTCTGGCAAGGAGACAGAGACTTCTGTCAGAATCAGGTGGGCCAAGCAAGTTTAGTATGGAGTTGCCTGGGAGAATTTTTTTTTTTTCTTTTTATGTTGGAGTCTCACTCTGTCGCCCAGGCTGGAGTGCAGTGGCTGCTCCCGGCCACTGCAGCCTCGACCTGCTGGGTTCTGGCGATCCTTCCGCCTCAGCCTTCCGAGTAGCCGGAATTACAGGCACGCGCTACCATGCCCGGCTGATTTCTTAATTTATTGTAGAGATGAGGTCTCGCCAAGTTGCCCAGGCAGGTCTTGAACCCGCAGGCTCAGGCAATCCACTCACCTCAGCCTCCCAAGGCGTGGGATTATAGCCACCGAGCCCAGCTGCCTGGGAGAATTTTAAGGGGTCACCTTAAAACAACTCTTTAAGAAGCAATACTCTATATGACACTCGAAATGGCAGTAGCATCTTACCACACGTAAATAAAGGTTAATATCTGCAATATAGGACAAATCCACAGAACAATATGGAAAGGACAACAACCCTATAGAAAAAAGAAATCTGTAGAATAAATGACCCCAAAACCCCTAGGATGGAAAGGGACCATTCGTCCTCTTTGCCCCTCTCTGAGTGTGACATAGCCAGTTCTTAGCACTAGATACTCCTGCTGCAGCCTCTGGATTAGGAGAGATGGTGGGAATTTGTATACAGTGGTGAAGGAGGGTGGCGGCGATGATGGCCCCCTGGCCAGACCAATTCTGCTTCCAGCTTAGCTGGGCCTTTCAGCTCCTGTGGTTGCTCCTAGCTGCTCAGCAAGGTCCTGACTCCTCCCGACAATCGTGCTGTTGGGCTTCCCGTTAGAATTCCCTCCCCAGCTCTGGGAAGCTCCCGCCTTGTGTCCTTGTTGTATCAGAGGCCCTACCCTGCCCTTGAACAAGTAGCCACAGGCCAAGAGTAGGGACACAAGGTGGAGTATGCAATGGTGGCAGTGACTGGGGCAGGGTATACGGGATGGAAATTTTCTTTTTTTTTTTTGAGTTGGAGTCTCACTCTGTCGCCCAGACTGGAGTGCAATGGCCGCTCCCGGCCACCGCAGCCTTGACCTGCCGGGCTCCGGCGATCCTTCCACCTCAGCTTCCAAGTAGCTGGAACTACAGGCGCGCGCTACCACACCCGGCTAATTTTTTTTGATTTATTGTAGAGAAAGGTCTTGCCAAGTTGCCCAGGCGGGTCTCAAACCCGCGGGCTCAGGCAATCCACTCACCTTGGCCTCCCAAAGCTG